ATTTATTTTTGCTGAAACTTTTAGCATACATTTAGGACCATGAGACCTACATATGGGCAAAATTTCAAGACATAATTTCGTCATTTGAATTTTTTGTAAATACCTTGCCATAGGCCGAAAAATCAGTAAAATGGCCATAACCTTCGAAAGAAGCAACATGGGCCCAAATCCTCTTAGGCTTTTTCTTAGCATACTGACCCCTACATATGGGCAAAATATAAGCAAAATCGGCGTGAATCACTTGGAACGGTTCCCTCGTCAGTCAAACCTAAATTTTATTAGAACACTATGTTGTATCTATAGGCAAAAATAAATCACTGAAATCTGAAGAGACTCTCTCTTGTTAGTTTATAAATTTTAGTGCAATATTAGTAATCTTTCAGCTTTTACTGTGTTGTGTCTTATTATACCTTTCAGACGTTGAAAGTGATAATTCGCTGATTTCTTTTAGGTGTTTATCAAAGATACTTTTTTTTTGTTTTCTGTGTACGAATGAAGTTATTTTTTCTTTTGTTTTGAGATTCTAGAAAAATATTTCATCGAAAATATGATTCATTTTCATTTACTTCTAAAGAATTATCACTATGTTTGCTTGTGATTGAATTTGAATCAAGACTAGCAGATGCTGCTGATCGAGCTTGATTAGCTTTTTGAATACAATCTTCAATACTTGATAATTGTTGTTCAAATGATGGAAAATGAAAATCAGTTGAACGTTCACATACAGAAGCAAATTCTTTATTTAAAAAAAAGAAGAAAAAAAAATCATTTATTTATTTATTATCATAAAAAAAAAATAGAAATTACCTTCTTTAATATCAGCAGTTGTTAATCGAAGTCGTTTTGGTACAAGAAGTACAAGACCACAAAGTGAACTTGAATTAAGTGACATAAGTGTTTGAAGACGTTGTGGTTCAAATAAAATTTTATTACTATTTTTTTTTAAAAAACAAATATTTAACTATTTTATAAAAACAAAAAAAAAACAAATAATTTCTTTTTACTCTTTTTTCTCGGTTCGTAAACGACAATAATCTAGCATATCACAACGAATTAAACGAAGATTATACATCGATTTTAATTGAGCACCTAAAAACAAGAGAATATTTATTAAAATATCGAAAATTTATATAATAACTAACCGAGTTGTACAGTATAACTTGTTTCTAAACGCCGTTCATGTAATGTTGTATCAGGTACAGCAATTACAATGGATAATGGTGATGATAGTATTGCATTAAGACGTGTATGTCTAAAATAAAATTATAAAGATTTTCTTTTTTGCAATAAATCAAAAAAAAATAAATATGCAAATCATCTAACATTTTATTGCTATTTGAAGTTTGTAAACTATTTGATACTAAACTTTCTTCATGTAGTTGCATAACACGTTCTTTAAATTGTTGTTTTTGACGATCTTTAGCTGATGTTATATTACTATTCCATTTACCTTCAACAGACTAGAAATAAGAAGAATAATCATTAGAATTCAAAAAACAAAACAACTCTCATCGCAATCTCTACGGAATTAAAATGTAAAACACAATGTAATTGCTGCTCGCTGATCACACGAAGATCGTTTTTTTTTTTACTTTTTCAAACTTCTAATTTATATATTATTGCGTTGGAAAAAGTATTTATACATCTATCGAAAACTATGACGTTTTACTTCAATAGTGCGTTCCGCTTCAGTGTCATCAGCAATAAGTAAACATATTTGATATTAGTCGCAATTTTTGCAATAGAAAAGAATATATATTATTTCACGATTGATTCTATTGCTTGGGGTCGTCTGTCGTTCCTTTAAAAAAAAGTCCATTTCCGTTAGATTAATCGGAAATACAACAAATGCATGGGAGGATAACTTGAGGTCAGATCTTTCAGACATACATTATGGGTTTTCTTTTTATTTGGTACATTTTTTTTTCAGAAAAACTGGTAAATGTTTTTTGTTTTTTTTTCTTCTCTACTTATGTTTTCTAATTGCGTAGTTCAGAATTCTCAGATTATTTAATTTTTTATTTGCTTAGAAGAGCATATTAAAATGTAGGGTCTGACAGAATGTTCTCTGTTTAATTAAACTTTGTTCTTATTATAGAACGAACATTTTAATAAATAAACCTTCAACTTGTCATCCATTTCTTTTCACGTAAAAAATAAGAATTATAAAAAAGAAAAAAACTACGAGCACTGCCATGTTCTGCATGTTGACATATTCTTTCAAGGACAAGAAACTTAAATGTAAAAAAATGAGGATCGACAGGCAATTTTAAGTTGTTAAATGAACTGCTTTTGAGCCTTGTCTGATAAATTTTTCTATCTCTCAAATATTATAGTATAAAGCTAAGAATTTCATCATAGCCTTTTCACTATAGTTTTAATATATCCCGAAAAGATCAGACGTTTTGAATATACACTTAGTCCAAAATTGGTTTGTGCAGATGAACCGGAGAGCTTTGAGGGCAACTTCGTATGATCTGATCTGTTAACTGCAAGAGATACTAACTATGACTCATCCTGACTTAGCTTATTACTGTGATAATACAGTATTTTTTACATAAACAGTGGTTCTACTCAGAAAAACTGATTTTAGAATTTTGGTAGAAGATAGGCCTTAACGAACGTAGTTTTTTGTGAATATAACTCTGACTAAAAAGTAATTGATTAGTTCAGGAACTTCTCTCGTGAAATTAAGCAAAAAGTAGTGGAGTAACGAATTGAAGCTGAGAAGCTGCAGTGATCCAAGTTCACAACGGCTTAAGCTCTTTGATTAATAATCAGTGACGTATCCAGGATTTTTCAGTATGCTGAATCTCGACTTCCCAGTGTGGGACCCAGATGAAACTCATGGAGGCTGATGCTGGGTCCAAATAATGAAATTTTATCAACAATAATTTGCACTCGGAGTTTGCGAAAAAAATTTGCAATTTCCTGATCCCTCCTCATAGGATTTTTTGCTGTTAGTAGCATCTTAATTTTTAGAATTTCATAGGAAGCTATACCGAATTTCATCGATAAATTTCAAATTTCGTCTAAAAATATGTAATCGTTCAAGAGTTATAACTT